CCCCCCCCCCCCCAACAGCTCCCAGGAGCTCTCCTCTGGCAGGAACACCAGCACTTAGTGGTCTGCAGGCCACCTGATGAATGATGGGGCATGTGCAGCACCTTAATCACGGCCCTGAAAGCCTGGAGAGAGCTCTGCTCCCTGAACGTGGGTGTTCGAGACTGCGAAGCACTGGAGCCCGAAGGCTCCTGCACCGCTGACAGGCGCCTCTACCCCCAGCCCCCCTCCTCACTGTGCACTGACTGCAGAGGCAAAGGTGCTGCCATGTAGGACAGCCCTAGCCACAGGGCAGCTCTGCCTAGCAACCCAGGGCCATGCAGGTTGCATGCCAAGGCCTGCAGCCTGCACTGCAATGAAGCAAGAGCTCTTGGAGCAGCTGCTGGTGCTACAGAAGAGCAGGCTTCAGCTGCAAGCAGGGCCTCACCCCTCCAGACACCATGCACCCACAGCTGGGACAGTCCATCCTCCAAGGAGTTTGCCACCCTGAATAGACAAAGCACAAGAAAGGCCAGTATTGCCTCCTTTGGCACAGGGGAAACTGAGACACAGGCGTGCCAAAAGCCCCACAGGGATCTCTAGTTTCCTACCTGGCAATTAGCCATGGGCCAGTACCCCCGTGCTAGCGGCTGGCACACGCTACAGCCACCTTCCTTTGCAGGTCTAATGAAATTCAGACCTCCCTGCACTCGATTATAAATGGGACCTCCTGAAACTCCCCCTCCTCACCCGGGGAAGCAGCTGTTTTCCATCTACAAGAGCTCGCTGAGGCCGAAGCCCTGTCAAGGAATACTCGATCCCACTCATGAGCCCCTTGTAAGCGAGCGGGGCTAAGTGCAAGGGAAGCCCTCGGTGGAAGATCATCTTCTCATCGCCTTCGAAACCGAGGCACGTCTGGACTGGAGGATGAGGTGCAGGGTGGGCTGATGAGGGGCCACGGAGCCGAGATGGGCAGGTGCTCGTGTTGGAGAAAGCGTGGAACAACGCAACTAGCACTGGCTCCCAATGGGATGCTCCTCTCGTCAGCCATGAGAGGCAAGAGCCAGCCCAGCCCTGACAGCATGCACACGGGTAATGTCTTGCTGGGTACAAGGCATGGATGAAGTCTGGTACTCCCCACAGACATCCAGGGCTTTTCCAGCTCACCGGAACACCTCTTTCTTACTGCAGCCCAGCAGCAGCTTGCACATCTAGCAGCAAGTGGCCCGTGCTCCAGCCTCACTGCTGTCCCTGCATGAGGAGCTCTGCTAACAGGCATGTGCCAGCAGCCGCTAGCTCTCGCCTTGGTGGGGGCAGCACAAGTGCATCACTCCCTGCATCTGGGAAAAGCCACAGGGCTGAATCCCTAGGACTTCAGGCTAACATTCACTTGACCTGTTGGGGCCTGCTTGGCAAGATTTCCTCCAGCCTGAACTTGGAGGCTGTGACCATCGCTGCTGCCAGGGAGATGGAAGGGGATCTACAAGCAAGAGGGTTTACCCCCCCACTAACCAGGCAGCACAGACAACAGCAATCTGCCGGGGCAGGGGACCACTGACCAGACCCTGACTGCAAGAGCAGAGCAAGCAGCCCGCTCCTTTGGAAGGGAAGCAGCTCCAGAAGGTGGGTTCTGCTCCAGGGCCATGGTGCAGCCCTACTCAGGGTCTGTCCCCTCCCTCCCCAGGCATGCTGGTCACCTTGCCACCTGTGTCTGGGGGAGCAATGTAGAAACTGTCCCCTGCCTCTGCAGCCATGTCCACCCCGAAATTCTGCTAGTGACCAGTGCATCTCCCACATGCTGCAATCCATGGGGGACCGTTCAGCCAAAAACAACCAGTGCCGGACATTGGTGGTTGCAGCACCCCAGCGGGCACATCCACCTCTTTTGAGGAGCTTGCTTGCTTATTGACTCTCCAGTCCACTGGCCTAGAGGCACGTGACAGAAAGACCTCCCCAACGCCAGCCTGGCCAGTGACTCTGGGGATGCGCCTGTGGCTTCTGGGAAAGAAAAAGGACCCAGACAAGCATGACTGCAAGAAGGGGAGATGAATAAGCCCACGCTACCACTGCCCAGTTACAACACCGGAGAACAATGTGCTGCACTCCTCCGCGGGAGCCCGCCTGCCTGCTCCCGGCCAGCGCAGGTACCAGACACCAAGCGCTCCGTAAGCAAACAGAGCCCCCGACGTGCAGAAATGAAATGAGTGCAGAGCTCCCCATTCCATCTCAACCCGCCGTTTGCACCTGGTTATTAATGGCCTCGCCTGCGACCCCTGAACCCTGCTTTGCTGCGCATCATGGGTCTGCCAGCCTTGGCACCCTCGCAGCAATTCCAGAGCAAGGGGGCAGGGAATCAACAGCCCTGTTCAGCTCTGCACAGGGGACCAGGCAGCAGCAAAGCTGTCCCAGATCTTCCCCTACCAAGCAGCTCTTGTGGCCACAGGATGACGTTCCCAGGCCCACCTCTTGCTTCCATTTCTGTGCCCCCTTCTGACAAGGTGGGGAGGCAAGGAAGCCAGTGACATGCATTTGTTTTCAGCCCCAAGGCACCGTAGCACTGCTAATACCCAGCAATCAGGGAATCCCAGCTCCAGGAGACGCCAGTTCCTCTGGGATTCTGACACAGTTTTCTAGCCCCAACAAAGTGGAGAAGCTTGCCCAGAATCGCCCTCAACCTGCAGGGTCAACCTGTTAAAAGGTACTTTTACCATTGGCAGCAGCAGGTGAGCACATGCAATGTGTTTAATTGCAGGGGTGGATCGATTCTGTAGAAGCAGGACATGCTCCTACCCATGCAAAGGGCCTGAACTGCAGACAGAATCAAATTTCATTTCTCTGAACTAGGACCTTGCCTGCAGGCCTCTGTTTAAGAGCATGAAGGGGCACACACAGATACTCTGCTTGATGACTGTGAGTGGGGTCTAGGAGAATTAGGCACCTCAAAACCAACTAACTTAGCTCCCATGGTTTCTTTTGAGACTCCCAGCCAACATTACCAAGCGGTTA